TGGTTAAATGCATCAACCCGAATAGACCTGGGGAAAAAAGATGGCTGGCAATGTTGGAATAAATACATTTATTCCAGGAGATTACTTAATTAACAATAGCTCTTTAATGATAGAAGGAATGTTTCTAAACTAGGTTAGTTGATAGGAGTGAATTTGACATAGTCCCAAATATTGTGGTAAGAACCAATATTTTATTTCTCAGTACAGTTTTCAAATTATTTACAAATTAAACACAGTGAATCGGAGTCCAAATATTTATAGAAAGGTTTATCTTTCAGCAACTTAAAACAACCAGTGTTGTAATAAAATGTTTTGCATTTATCAAATGTCTTCAATAAAAAATCATATATTTGTCAGATAGTTTTAGCTGGTGCATTAGTATAAATATAATCACTTTTTCGAGAAAATGCTGGCAAAAATTACACACAGATGAATCCCTGAGATGGTCTTCAGCTCTGTTGGAATTTTTTTCCTTTAATTCTTTCTTTGAATCTTTCTACTGAATTATGTCTGTACAACTTTATTATTTGTACAGTAGCAAGAGCTGACACTAAATATATCCAGATACTAAATTTCTTCATGATTTTTATGATTTGAGAGTAACAGGCATGTCTAAATGCCAACATACCTGGCACCAAATAGACATCTTTATATGCTTATCATTCTAAATCCGAATGTGCATGGACTGAATGAATGATAATAGCTAACATCCATTGACAGGAACTATTATGTATGATAATCTTTGCAAGTCTGCATTTTCAAATGCTGCTGCTTGATGCCTAGAACAATTTTTTCACTATGACCATATGAAAGGCATCCCATTTTACTATTTCCTTTTACTTAAACCAGTAGAAACATCAAGGCAAGGAATCCAGTGATAAAGTTAATTTGTCTCTGTACTAAAATTCTGTACTAAAATCCCATAAGCTGCTATACTGCTTAGAACCTTTTACAGCATTGATTTTATTTGGAGAAAGTAATTGAGCTGAAAGAGATTAAAGACTTTCTACCCATAAAAGGCCGTGCTTGTTTCATTTCCTTTTGACTGTGTTGTGCTTTGTTCATTTTTAATAAAGGCAGCCACCTGCTTTGATAATAGCATCCTAAACACGCTTTTCTCACTGTGTCTCTGTGCATACAGATTTAGCTGCTCATCCTTTGAAGTTGTGTGAGCTTGTAATGAAGCACCTTGTTGCCTTAAAAATTACCCTGCAGGTGGATTTAACATCATCTGCTCCTTGAACAAGGTGACAGAGAGAGACTCTTGGGGCTCGTTAAAGAAAGCAGTATCCTACTTCCGAAAAAGTTGCTTAGGAAATATTTAATTAAAATTACTTCTATAATGAATTATATTAGCTAATAAATTCACAACCACAAAGAGGGAAGAAAGATTTTTTAAGATATTATGAGACAGCATAAGGAGGCATAAAATTATTCAACCTCCTCTGTGTCAAATGGGGAATGTTCTGCTCTTTATTGGTTCCTTTTACTTTTTTTATTCTCTGTAAATTTAAATTCCAGATACTCTAAGCAACAGCCTTTTCAAGATTAACATTTTGAAACCCTCCCAGCCAATCAACACAACCCAATTAGGTAAAGTAACATGTACCAAATTAAAAACCTCAAAATTACTGATCTTTGTATTTAGGAAAAAGGTTTATGAAGAATTTGCAAGCAAGAACATGGCTGACATTTTCTTTCATCAGTGAACTCATTATTTTAGAATATAACTATTGTCAATTGAAAGGAAGGTTGAGGGAAAGAGATCTACAGAAGAAAAATATGTGATTTTGTTTTCATAACATAAGTCATATAATTTTAAGTAAATATAACCCCAAAGTACTATTTTTTTTTGAACTCCTACCTGCTCGGGTTCAAAGAATACATGGCATAAAGGACACAAAAGACAGAAATAAACTGCATTACAGAAGCAATGATGATCAAGCCACTATGTCTCCAACCATAACCACAATGTGGGATTAAAATAACAAACAAAAAATAACACAGTTGAAGGTCATCTAGCCCAACCCCCTGCTCAAGCAGGGAACCAATAAGAATTACCTTTTTTCTCTGAAGGATCAACTGCAACCTAGACAATCACAGTGCATCTACATGAGTGCCTCCACATACATTCTTTCTTTTATAATCTCTACAACTATGTTTCTATGCTACTTCCCATTCCATCAAAATGAAGGTTATAAACTTAGAAGGGAAAGATATTTCTCCTACCCAGAAGAGTCAGAAGCATTGGATTGGGTAAGAGATTAAAGTCTAAAATAAACATATCAAGATCAATGGTTCCCATAAGATCTAATATTTTCATTAAAATAGCAAAAGTAGTGTTGCACTGTCATGACATGTGATCTACCCTTTTTGTACATAAATACAGGGTCTTGATACATATCTTAAAGGGGTAGAGGAGTTTGGATTATAATGGTGTGATACTGGACTACTCTCCTTGCCTCTCTACTCTGAAGCTTCTGATATGTGGAAAGAATGAAGCAATGGGTCATGGGTTGTACAGATATTATATTATATTATATTATATTTATTATATTATATTATATTATATTATTATTATTATTATTATTATTATTATTATTATTATTGCTAGATAAGACATTCCATGATGTTTGCACCTTACATTATTCTAGAATGTGCCACCTAGAGAACCAAAACTGGTAAGTTGTGTGACAACAGAAACTGTACATTTGCAGACTATTGTCTTTCGTGGAATAGTACTGCAGCGAGACTACTTATAAATAGATATGTAAAAGATGTATGCCATAAGTTTGTATGAAAATGAGCTTTTGAAAGGCTTTAAAATTATCTCTGCCATGTAGTTACGTATTATGGAATAGAGTTCCATAGAATTCATCTTTTGTGAGTTTAAAATTTGCACAAAAATATGTTAAAAATGTGTTAATTATATTTATATAAATTACTTACAGAAAAGTATGTTTTGGAGTGTTTGTGTTATTAAATAGTATGTACATATGTGTTAAATACCTTGCCTTTTCTCTGAGCAAAAATTGACTTATATATTATTATTTTTTATTTTATTCTAACAGCAGTCCTGTGAGATTGATTGGCTGAATGTGAGTGACTGGCCAAAAATCATCTGCTGATTTGGATCTGATCTGGAATCTTTCTGATCATATCACAATATGTTAAGAATATCTCACTAGATAAATATGAGTGATAGTTTGGTCTAGCGGAGAGAGCTAGTTAGCTAGAAATCAGGACACTGTGAGTTCCAGTCCCACCTTAGGCATGAAAGCCTTCTTGGCAACTTTGGGCCACTCATTCTCTCTCAGATCAAAATGTTAGGCTCAGGTTAGGATTCTTGTTACAGTCAACAGATCAACATTCAATTGCTCCAAAAAAGGAGACCATGTGCACACACACACAAACAAACACACACAGCTATTTAAATACAATACATTTCTGCAGAGAAATTTATGTTGAGAAGATATCAGAACCATGGTATCTTTCATGGACAACATGAAAATAAAACTCCCTAAATTAGAGAAGATTGCAAATGATAGACTGATGTATGGTTGCTATTGTTGCTGAAACAATTTTTAACAAAATCCAATAATCTACTGGGTTATTATTTTACTAATTGGGGTTTATGGCATTGTAGTCTGGGATTGGGATAATGATTGTATTGTTTAAAGGGCTAGATTTAAAGTGATTCATATGTTTTTAACAGCAAGGCAACTCAAGAAACCCAAAACTTACATTGTAATCAGATATTATGGATTTCAACTCAATAATTCACTTACTGAATTTTTCACATAAAGATGAAATGGTGGATAGACGGAGATTAAGCATTTTGGAAAGCTTGACTATCTCACTATAAACAGGCTTATTCAAAATAATCTGCATAAACTCCACTGTGACATTTCCAAATGGCCTTTACTATCATACATTCATTACAATATTTGGCTACAAAAGGCTTTGATGACTTTTTAAACATATCTTACAAATAAATCTTGTCTCATGATGATGTGATTCAACAGAATAAATCCTCCCATGTCATTTGACCTACCTAAAAATTCAGGCTGTCCCAGAATCCCTTGAAGATGATTAATTTTTTGAAACTTCTCAGTTAAAATATTCTTAAATGTTTAGTCATAATTTTAAAAATCCAATTAGGAAGGGGAAAAAAGGGTCTCGTTGCAAGATGAAAGTTTAAAACCTATATTCCTAATGGTTGTAGTCAAGAACATTGATCTCATTTTGACTGGGCATCTTGGTTTCATTTAATTTCCTGTAATATGGACGCATATTATAGCACATCAAAAAATTCAGACCTTGGATCTGACAAGCAATTTCATAAACTATGTTTCCAGATCATGTTATAATACATCAAAACATTTTGTATGGGGAACAAAAGTCTTTAACAATCAATTTTTCTGTCCTTCAATTTTTTTAAAAAAAGAAAAGCCTTGAAGTTTTATTTCCTTTTATATAAAAAGTAACACAGATTTCTTATTTTTTTTTAATGAAATAAGCTTCCCCTTGACTGATATCTTTTACTAGGATTCTTTAAAAAGCTATGTGATACATGTTCTTTCAGGTTCCACTGCTAATTTTCTATTTTTTTTAAAAAAAATAGAGGCATACAAAAGCATACTTTCTAAAGAAAAAAAATTCCTTTAACATAATAAAATATGGAAGCTAGTAGCACATCAGAAAGCCAAATTTTTTTAATAAAAAACCTCAAAATGTCATTATTGATGAAAATGAAATACTAATTAGTATTTTCCACCAACTGAGAAAAAAAATCAATCTGCATTTTGAACTGATGCCCTTGAACAGCTGCAATATCGATCCTAGAGAGTAGTATTTTACTTGATGCTTCAACATGTTATTGAAAAATAAAGGGATACATGCCCTAATTAAAACAATTCTGAGCAAACTGGCCACAAGCTGCAATTCCTCTGATCTGTCATCTAACATTATACAAAAATATTGGAACCACGATAACTTACCTTTGGCAAAGCATATTTAGGAAGTTTCATCTGTGCAAAAGTATTTCTGCGGTAAGACACGTAGTAATATGGCCGACCTCCAGATGTCAGCTGCAACATACAACATTGCTTTTTCTTATTATTTTAATCAAGGTATTATTATCACCATTTTCTCCCTTTTCATTAAGGTATGGAAACAAATAACAGGTGTGTTCTAAAGGGAAATACAGTTATGTCACAATGGTTCCAAAATGGCAATGAAGATACAGCAGGAGATGAATTAGCCCTCATTCAGATATGGAAACAGACAGCATTAATAAGCATCATCTATGCAGACTGCAAAGGAAGACAAAAAGAGCAAGGGAAATCTACAAATGTGGGATTCCTGAAGCAACATTCAGCATCCTCAATTGCACAGGCAAATATTGTAATACTGTATTCAAGTCAATAATGCTTGCACATTATATTTCCAATTTAGATAACGAAAGAAGCTTTTCTGCTCTAGTCAACTTTGGAAAAAAACACTTTTCTTCCAAGCCAAGGCCCTAAGATTTTGGCGAGTTCTAGAAGGAACACCAAAGTCCTCCATATTTCCTAGAGTATTCCATTTATGTAACAGTAATATTTACACATGCTACAGCCAGCCACTTCTTCCATCAGGCCAAATAAATGAAATAATCTTCAGGCAACAACCCACAGACAGCCAGACTTTTCCAAAATCCTGGAAGCCAAATCAAAAATCAATCTCTTTCTAGTTACACTGAGTGACAAAACAAAAACAAATATCAGTAACAATTCATTAACAAACAACAGGACAGATGACTATCTTATTTAACCTGAAATACAATTGTAGAAGTTTGTTTCATCTGTATCAGCTTTCTTAAACAAAGCTTATACTCTTTTTTTTTAAAGTATGTTAAGAAGGTAACTAAGAGCAATCTCAGTTAATGCACAGTTCTGCTCTAAAAATATTTTCTCCAAATTGTTGAAGTAGTAAGATACACATGCAGAAATAGCACAAGCTTTGAAAGGTTTAGCACCTCTGGTCAAATTCCACATTTCAATGCATCTTTATGTGAACAGAAGCTGACTTAGCTGCTATGCCAGACAGCTATACATGACATCTTGAATGGGTATGTTTTTGGGCTGTTGCTTACAGGCTTAAAATAAGGAAAAAATGAAAAGTACAGAAGTTTAGATTCTCTTTTATTACTTTTCAACATAGCTAAGAGTCTTTCTGTTCTTGCTTTTGGAATATCTGTTTCCTTCCTCCTTTCCTCCCTTTCTGTCAATGTTGACTGGTGACTGTCTGGACAGGTCCTTGCAAGATTTTGGAAGTGGTTTGCCATTGCCTTCTTCCTAGGGCTAAGAGAAAGGGCTTGGTTTTGTGTGCATAAGGCAAGACTAGAATGCACGGTGTCCTGATTCCTAGCCTATTGCTTTAACCACTACACCAAACTGGTTTTTTCACTCTCTTATAGTTCAAAAATATTCTATATCTCCTTGCACATATTGCATGTTTGAGATTTTCCCGACTTCAGATATACTGAAGTTGGGGGCCTCTGAAGGGCATACCAAAATCTTTGTTTTTGTTTCCTATAAATACCTTATAACAAGATTTTGCTGTCTTACTGAAATGCCCAGTCTTTTCAGTTTCTTCACTGACTATGGGACATTAGCTCTAGGATATGAAACCACATAGCTGAATTCATTCTTTCTTTCACATACATTATTTCCTAGGCTACTGAATATCACACAATTCCAAATGATAATGCAGCTCACCTTATGCTTAATGGTTGCAACATATTTTTTCAGCTTTTTGTCCAAATTTATCTATGTGTTTGTAGCCAAATTTGTCAATTTTTGTTTTATCAGTTGAAAGCACTTTCTTTCAAAAACATTTCAGGCTTTGTTAGCATGTTTTTGTTTGCATATTTTAGATTACAATTTTGGATTGAGGAGAAAAGATCTTCTAAGAATTTTCCCATACTGATTACTGTTTATTATATTGTGAATCTATTCCAATATGAGTTAACTTTTTCAACAGATCATTTGCAGTGCTTTACAGTTCTGACAAATTTAGGTATTTTTACCACAAAACTGAGATAGATAATATGCGTTCAAATTGGTAGAATTTAACTTTATATCATGTAAAGGTTGTAACAGCTTCTCTTCCCTTATGGATACAATTTAATCAGGGTTTAGGCTTCAGAACCTATAGTGATTTATGTCTTCCTTCTTTCTTGCAAAGCAATCAACTGTACTTCTCCTATTCATGTCTCTTTTTCTTTGCTTCCTTAATCTTTCTGGGTTTGTCCAGCTGTGAGGTTCCACATGGCTTTCTCAGAATGATTTCTTCAACTGGTGATATAGAGGATCACTTTGTCTGCTTCCTTTTACTTATGTCAGTTTCTCCCTGCAGTTCTTTCATAATCTTATTGGGGGCATTTCCCAGTCATGCTACTGGGTGCCAGTATTGACAACAGAGTAGTCATAGAAATTGGAGTAGGACACAAGCAGTTGGAGGTCAGCACTAGTACACAATTAACAGGCCCTTCTACCAAGGTTGTGAAAGAGCTGTTCAAGCAAAGAAGCCACATTGCATGAGAGAGATTATCACTATTTGATCAGGATGCTTCTACAGGAGAAGAATGAAGAAGCCACATGCAGCCTTCTGCTATAATGAATGATTATATATGGGAACAATACACAAGTAGGTGACTTAATCTTAGCCCTTAAAAATATACACTATGCATGTTCAAAAGCATGTCTCTCTTTTACACATGGATTAAAAAAAAATAGAAGTCAAAACTATGAACATATGAAACCTGTTATGTGTACACTAAAGCCTGGTCCATTATTAATCAGGGATTTGTGGAACAATGAATGAAATCACAAATAAAGAGTTTTTCCTGTATTTTCCATAGTAGGAGAATTTACTACACTTGTTCTACAAAGAAAAGAAATGAGGTAATGTATTGTTCTAACCCTCAGAAGAGTTGATATACATTCTATTTGGAAGGAAATGATACACTCAAAGAAGTGTATCAGCTAGAGTGGTACAGCTGACAGCATTTGGTAACACATTCAGGATCGCCCTAGCTTAAGCCCACTTAAAAACTCCTGGCTATAGACAATCCAGCTTCGAAATGTATATGCTGATGTAAGCCAGGAACTTCAGTCTCAAGAAATACTTGAAAGACAGATAATTTATAGCTCATCTCCACTCTGCCAGCACTTTATTTCTTCCTTCTTGTTATGATGGGGATAGCAGCAGGAAGATAATGAAACTTAAAACTATTCAGATATATTCTCTGGCTTCCACCTGGAACATAGCTCAGCTGAATATATCTCATTTTCTTCTTTTTTCAAAATAATAGGAGCCCATGCATGACAATCATGCCTGATTAGTTTTCTCTCAAGCATTCCCTTTCCATATCCTTTCCACATCTCCATTATTATATCTCACCCCATTTCAAACTAAAAATAATAATAAAAAAACCTTGATTGGTCTGTTGAAATGGTGATATTGGAACTCTGGCATGCAAACTTAAAAACCTGTTGAAATGTGAGAACATTTTTGGAATATATAAAACTTTTGTTGGAGAGCTGACTGACAGGAGAGATTATTTTTATATACCTTGAACATATGTCAGACCTCACCCCTCACAACCCTTGTATTAACAAAGTACTTGAGCCAAAGGCAGAAGGAAATAATTAACACCCCAATGGGAATAACACTTTGGTGATGCCCTGAAATACTCAGGTTATTTTGTTGCATCCGTTAGGGGAGGGCATTTAATACAGAAAAATAAAGGGTAAAAATTATTTGTAATTAATAGAGGGGGGGAATTGTTTCAGACCTGAACAAATACATAATCATCTTGGACAATGAGAGAGTCAGAATCAACGTATCCAGGGAAAGGCTTGCTTCTCACAGCTTCAGAACAGTTCTGCATCCTACAGGTGATGTACTGTGCATCTGAAAGCACACAAAAAACACACATTAAATATAACATGATTTCAGCTCTGAACATTCATAATCTTTTGCAGGTATTCAGTGACTGTTCAAAGTTACAATAGCAATGAAAAAAGTGACAACCGTTTTTCACACTTACGACAATTGCAGCATCCCTATGGTCACATGATCAAAAGTCAGATGCTTGGTAATTGACTCATATGATGGTTGCAGTGTCCATTTTGCAACCCTCTAACAAACAAAATCAACAAAGAAGCCAGATTCACTTTACAACCATATTATTAATTTAATAACAATTATGGCAGGAAATGTTGTAAAATGGGGCAAAACTCACTTAACCACTGTCTCAGCAACAGAATTTTGGGCTCAATTGTCTTCAAAGGTCAAAGACTACCTATACTTAAATATTTCATATAGAACTTACTGTCTGCAAAAATTAGTTATATTACAATAGCCAATAGGAAAGCAAAAAGTGCAATAAATAGACAAAACTTTTTCCTTGCTTTCTTATTGCTTTTGTAGGCTTTTAAATAAAAGGAGCCCCAATTGAATTTGTTTAACTGTGCAAGAAAATAAAACAAATAAAACTGATTTTTTAAAAAATCAAATGAATAGGTAGCAAAAGTATATGTAAGAATGTACATAATTTTGTCTGCTTTCTCTAATTTAAAAAAACATTTTGCAGATTGAACCTATCTTGTTTTTCTCAAAATTGAGTTATCGGAACAGGAAAATTCAGCAATTTATAGATTTGGCCAGGGTCAATAGACTAAGCTAAGATCTAAATGGGCCTATAAGGCAGCAGGAAGATTTAAACTCATTTTGAATGGGGTTCATGTTTTTCCAGTGAATATTGGTTCCTTGAGTCTATGTGAATCTTTTTGCTGTCTCATAGGAGCAAGAAAGAATTGAAAAACACAGATCAAGAGTCAGAGAATAAATCTGCTCAAGATATTATAAACTGAACTTCAAGACCTTTTCAATATCTTTCCTTTTTACAGAGATACAGCTCCTAGGATTTGAAATACTTTTATGTTATATCTAATGTTAGCAGAAATATGAATGACTTTTGTCTTTTGGAGAACAGTAGCACATAAGTGGACTATTGCAGAACTTTTCTGAAGGCGATGTGTGGAACTCAATGACTACATTTTTGAAAGAAAAAAGAGTAATCTAACAAGAAAGTTAAGGGAAATTAGGTTTGAAAACATATTTTTTCAAGTGAACAATAAACCACTGATTATGTGAAGAACAAGTCTCTGCCCGGCAGTGTTTTATTTCATTGAAAATGAAAACTCTCCTTTATTATTAAGAATATAAGATACAAAAATGCAAAAGGATAATAGGAAAGATAGAGAAAGGAAAAAGGAAGGGAAATATGTAGGAAAAAGGGGGAAAAGAAAGAAAAGGCATTGCCTTCTAACCCTTTGGTGTAACAGAATAAGATAATATCAACCTCAACTTTTTATTTGTACATAATAGTATAAACTAGCCATTTCAATAACAACAAACCTATCTAATTGGTAAAAATCAAAATCATAGTTTCATTTTTTTTCCACCTCAAGCACAAAGTCCAGAAGCAGTTTCCTAGTAGAAACAAAAGTGTTTGTGTTTTTGTCTTTAATCAAAGCATTCAGTTTAGCCACCTCTGCTAACTCCATCAAATTCTGCAGCCATTCCTCTATTGGAGGAATCAAAGTGTCCTTCCATTTTTGTGCATAAAGTAGTCTTACTTCCATCAACATATAGCGTATTAAAGCTCAAAAAAAAATTCCAAGTGTTTTTCCACTAAACCCAAAATAAAAGTTTCTGGTTTTATCTTTATATTCACTCTTCTGTATTAAGATGTGAATCCTACTCCAATATTTCTTTGCTTTATCACATGTCCACCATAAGTGATAAAAGGTCCCTTCTTTATTTTTGCATTTCCAACATTCATTTGAAATGCCTTTATACATTCTAGACAACTTATAGAAATTTTCTTTTAAATTATAATTTAGTGTAAATTTAAACCCATTGTTCAAGCATTACATTATGTCCAAAGTTTCTTGCCCACCGAATCATGCAGTGCTTTACATATTCTTTCTCTAAATTCAAATTCAATAACAATTTATAAACTTCGGCAATAGTATGTTCATCATTACCACACAGTAAGATTTCCAATTTATTTCTCATAAATCAAAGCCATATTTCTTTTTGTCTAATTTAAATATCTCTTTCAATTGTACAAATGTAAACCAATGGCAGACATGTCCTTCTGATTCTAACTCCTCTTTAGACTTGAGGATAGGATCATCAAAGTTAAAATATATTATTTGACCATAAGTCCACCAGTTTAATTTTGCCAACATTTCTTTTTTTTAAAAAAAAAGCTTCCTGGGGCGACACCAATAGAGACATCTTTACAGAAAACCTTGTTTTATGTTTATTCCAAACTCTTAGGATGGCGCGCCTAACAAAATGGTTATTAAAATCAACATTTACTTTAACCTTGTTATACCATAGATAACCGTGCCTTCTAAATCTTAATTCATGACCCTCTAAATCAGTGGTTCTCAACCTTTCTAATGCCGTGACTCCATAATACAGTTCCCCATGTTGTGGTGACCCTAACCACTTATACATCACCGGGTGCCAGGGGGGTGGCCAAAGAAAAGGGGGAAAAAATGGCGGACAGCCTTGTTTGGCGACCCCCGTGAAATGGTCGTTCGACCCCAAATGGGGTCCCGACCCACAGGTTGAGAACCACTGCTCTAAATAAAGTAGTGTCTTATTTTGGAGGTTCACCCACTCTTTTAGCCAAACCAAACAGCCAGTCTCAAAATATAATTTCAAATCTGGTAATCTCCTCTTTCCTTAGCATCTTGCAAAAGTTTATATCTAATTCTTGCTTTTTTTTGTCTTCAAAATGAAAACTCTCCTAAGGACAAGCAGATTTCTGAATTAAACTTTAGTTTTGGGGGGGCATAGAGATAATTCATTATAATACTTTCTTAGAGAGTCAGTCCTGGCAAAGATTTCCACTAAACATGGCATAATACAGTTTGATAAAGATTCTTTGAAATAATAGGAAATATTTGTAGCTTGGGTTTTAAATTTTGTCTGAGGTTGTTCTCCAAGTTTGTTTTAATATAATTCCTGAATGATTCGTTACCAAACTAGGTAACATCATCAGCAGGATTTTCTTGTCCTAATCTCTTTAGCTCATAAGTGTCTTGTGTGCCAGTGTGGTCAGTTGTTTGGAGCTAAGATTTATTTCTATATTATGACAATAATTGAAGACTTTGTTAAATGTTACTATTTTTAATTGGGGGGGATATGTTGCATCATATTGGTAATGAATGCTGAACATATTCTATGCCCTCTGCAATTATACTCAGCTGATGTGCCCATGTATCTGTATTCATAGAGCTCCTAGTAACTTCTGATAAAGTTCTTATTCATAAAATATATCAAATGTTGACCATATCATTGATAGATATCTGTTAATTTATCTTTGGAGGAATAAAACAAAGCTTGCTTTCTTAAGACTTCAGAGTATTAAAAGGATTTCACATGAGCAGAACCACAGGAAAAGTTCAGAACAATGATATAAATATTGGAAATATTTTCAGAATCTTATTACAATAACCTTTTTTCCTTAAGTTGGGTTCACTGGGAAGCCATTCAGCAACAATTATTCTTTTGATAGTTAACCCCCATGGACTCTTTATTTATCCAGTACCACAGGAAGCACCTAATCACTTAAACTTAATTCATGCCAATTAATACATTTCATTGCTGAGATCTGGAATTAATTTATTTTCTACTCTAGCACAGATGCTCTTCCTCCCACTAATAATTGGGATGTTAAGTTTCTCACTGCCAGCATGCACACCTCCAGCAACAGCTGCTACTTTGATTGTTACAGCAACACTGAAAACATACAGCATCCTGATTACAAAAGTAGATATTGTCTCACTGATAAGTTTAGTGTAGATGGAATGGCTAAACTGAGAAAACTTTTGGTTTATGTATCCACAGCTGGAACGTGTAAAATTCTAGCAGAGCTTGCAGATATTCATTTCAATGAGGTTTCCTATCAAACAATAATACCAGACTGGAATAGGACAGGAAGTATGAGTAGTTATCTTCTATTGGAGGATGCATGAAGAATACAGCCGCCACCACCTGTATCCTTGCCTTTTGATGTTAAAACCCTGGATTCTTTTACTATTGAGAAAGCTCTGGTGTGCATGCCGATATTACTCTGATTTTATCATATCCATCAGAAAGATACTAACTAGAACAAATGTTACATCCTTTCTTTATCTAAATATGACACATATCATATTATTTCACACTTTTAGGATGCAGAGTGAATTCATATATCAAAATTATAAAAAGATGACAAAAGATTTCAACCACTGCAATCTATCCTGGTCTGGATACATTAATCCTTAAATAATCCTTTAACGATTATTTTATGCAGCATAGTGGAGTTTTGCTTCTATCTCTTAGAAGAGCTGGAGTATATGGATGAAGCTGGTTGCCTGGCTAACTGCCTCATTCATTAGTACTCTACTTTGAAAGGCATGGCCACATCTGTTACCTGCAACCTGTTGCTCTCAACCTCCACAGAAGAGAATAGTATGAGCAGGTTATCTGTGACACCCAATAGAAAATATTGTTAGGAAAAAAACATTGCTTCCTGATTACAAAAGTAGATATGGATTGCCTCACTAATAAGATTAGTTTATATTGAATTACTAAATTTCATTTATTTGCATATCACACTGGCCAAAATAAAAACCAAATTAAGAAGGGTCACAATGGGCAAATTTAGTGTTGGGTAGCTGAAGGAAATGTATAATGGAAATTAAGAAAGAATCTGAGATATTACAAAGTAAAATGATGCTTACTCAGTACATTCTCTGATCCCAAAGAAATCTGAAGTTCAGATGCTAGCTTGGGCCTCATGGTCCCACTGATCTTTTCAAAAACTTTATTGACAGATCATCTTCCTCATACTATTATATCACCGATCCAGTCATTTGATCCATATTAGTATGGCTTATTTAGGGCAAATAGTCTTCATATCAATACAAAGAGCAGATGTATTACAAGATTTAGGCTTTAAATAAACCAAGATGCTGTGGATTAGTCTTATTAATAGTTTCATCGCTATTATTCAATATTGTGCCTTCAGTTCAGATTTTCCCATAAAAATATATAATTTAAAGTAATCCATATATGTGTAGATTGAAAAATCATCTTTTATTATATTATTCTGTTTTCCAGTACCATTTTAGGCTAACAGAAAATACATAGCAATACATAAGGGACACGCCAGTACATAATGAAAGCTTCCTGAATAAGCTTGTATGAGCAATGTTCAGTAAGAAATACGGAAACTGAAACCATATCCTTACCCTAACTTCACTTGTTTATCAAAATAGAATTGACACTGGAGGCATGGGGGGGGGGGAAGGGGTTTCAAGAGGCAAGTAATGAAAGGGGAAACCTAGACATCTCTATCTAAAAATGATGAAATATAAAAAAAATGAACTTTTTTATTTCTCATAACAATTATTCTTTCCGAACAATTCTTCTGGACTTTGCAAAATGTTAATGTTAGATTAAAAATAAATATTACAAATATCACTATTGAATATTACTTAAATATTAGCTGAAAACCATAAATATATGCTATGTGCAATCTTAATCTACATTTTTTTCAATTGACTGGATACTAAGGGAATGTCAGAATGTTCCCTATTTCATCTTAAAGTGCATGTGAGCATGTTGTAGAAAAACAAAAAGTACAATTAACAATGACATTTGAAATTCAAAATTTCAAAATCTTTACCCAGCTATTCTTGAACAAAGCAAAAGACCTTTTCCTGCTAAAGTAACCTTCTTAAATATTTTGTCCTCCAGATGTCTTATGACTATAGAGTTTTCCCCTAAGTTGGTTATTCCAGCTGAGAATTCCACTATTTTAATCCAAATATTTCTGACAGCATTAGTTTGGAAAAGATTGAAACAAAAATTTACAATACTTTTTTTGGGAGACACATGCTTTTTTAAAAAAATCCATGAATTAAGGAAAATAGAACACCAGAATATCTAATATTTTAGGGCAATCATAGGCTATACATGAAATGGTCAAAAATGGTCAAAGCTGAAGATTTTTGAATGAAAGCAAACAATTTTTCTTTTTGTCAACTTTCCCAAAATCTCAGGAAGAGTTATTTGGAGATGAAAACAAATACAATATTATCCCATTTCATTCCATTTATTCAGTTTAAGAGCTAGTTTGTTACAGAGTCAAAACCTGGAAAATCAAATCAAATGATGCCTACTAGAAAATATATTGTTATGAATTATGTATTTTTCCTTTTATGCCTTTTTGAAGTTTTTCACAAATTGCAAATCTTTCCTATTTCTATAAATATTGTTTTGCATCTCAGATTGTTATATTGAATTTCTACTTATTTGAAAATGTTTATTGCATGACCAGACTGAAAATAATCATAAAAGCCTCCATTGGATCTCCCTAATGCAATCTTATGTTCTGATGAATGCCAGTAGACTATATAATTATATTCTGATAAAATGATAAAAAAGCACTTACGGCCATCCAATGTTTTTGCCTCCATGTGGACTATGTCTGGATCTTTGCTGGTACCCATTTTAGACCTGGGAGAGAAAAAAAACGAACACTTCAATATTACTAGAAATAAACAAAACATTTAGTTAAAAGGAATTATCTGGAATACCTAAAGAGGAATATTTCAATATTCATTCATTCATTCATTCATTCATTCATTCATTCATTCATTCATTCATTCAATCAATCAGTCAATCAATCCACTAGACTTTTCTTTGAGGGAGATGAGCGGTTCAGAAATGTGAAATATAAATAAATTAAAAATATATAAAAATATCATTTTTAGGACCTCAAGACACAATGAACCTGCCCAAATTAACCAACCTGAATGTCTCTAGAGTAATACCATATGAGCTATACCATGTAACTACTCCTAGGGTAGTTTTCAACTCCCACTATGATCCCCAACAGTAAAATTATTTCTCAGACTCAGCTTCTCAGTAATGTATATCTAGTAGCTACATAAATCTAAATGGCTGCTAGATTGCAGTCAAGGGATACAACTCCCACTCTGTTCCCCCCAAAAGAAACCCCTCTATTGCTGGCATTTAATGGTTGATAGGTCAACCAACTGACCTATAATTTAATTAATGGTATCCTTCTGCGTCGTCTCGGAGAGGTGGGGGTGGGCGGCACCGTATTGCGGTGGTTCTCCTCCTACCTCTCTGACAGGTCGCAGTCGGTGTTGGCGGGCGGACAGAGATCGACCTCTAGGCGCCTCGATCATGGGGTGCCTCAGGGCTCGGTCCTGTCCCCCCTCCTTTTTAACATCTACATGAAACTGCTGGGTGAGATCATTCGGCGACACGGGGTGAGGTATCATCAGTACGTGGATGATACCCAATTATATATCTCCACCCCGTGTCCTTTCAGTGAAGCAGTCGACGTGATGTGCCGGTGCCTGGAAGATGTGAGGGTCTGGATGGGGGTGAACAGGCTTAGACTCAACCCTGACAAGACCGAGTGGCTCTGGGTCTTGCCTCCCAAAGGCCAACTGGATGGTCCATCTTTAGTCCTGGGGGGGGGGCAAATTTACCTCCCTCAGTGCAGGCACGCAACTTGGGTGTCCTCCTGGACTCACAGCTAAATCTGGAACAACATCTATCGGCTGTGGCCAGGGGACCTTTGCACAGGTTCGCCTAGTGCACCAGTTGCGGCCTTATTTGGACCGGGAGGCTTTACTCACAGTCACTCATGCCCTTGTCACCTCAAGACTGGATTACTGTAACGCGCTCTACATGGGGCTACCCTTGAAGAGCGTTCGGAGGCTGCAGTTGGTTCAGAACGCAGCCGCAAGAGCGATTGTGGGCGCGCCAAGGTACGCCCACGTGTCATCTATCCTCCGCGAGCTGCACTGGCTTCCTGTGGGTCTCCGGACGCAATTCAAGGTGTTGGTTATCACCTTTAAAGCCCTTCATGGCATAGGGCCAGGTTACTTACAGGACCGCATTCTGCCGCACAGCTCCCAGAGACCGGTGAGGTCCCATAGATTGGGCCTCCTTCAGGCCCTGTCGGCAGACAATGTCGGCTGGCAGGCCCTCGGGGAAGGGCCTTTTCTGTGGTGGCTCCGACCTGGTGGAATCAACTTCCCCCCGAGGTTTGAACTACTCCCACCCTGCCGGCCTTTAAGAAGGCCGTTAAAACTCTCCTGTTCCGGCAGGCCTGGGGCTGATGTCCCCGGGGGGGCGGGATATGATCGGACTCGCGGTATGACTATTTTATTTTATTGTTTTATCATTGTTTTAACTTTGTACGCCGCCCTGAGTCCTTTGGGATTGGGCGGCATATAAATATTTGAAAATAAATAAATAAATAAATAAATAAAATAAATTAATTTAAAAAAAATCCATTATTGATGTTTTGGGGAAAAAATCAGTGCCTAGAGCAATTGGAGCGTTGTGCAAAGAAAACTATAGTGGCTTGTCTAGGCAGTTGCCAAGAGTCAACAGACACACTTGAAGCACCACACTTAAACACGCACACACAAATATTCACATAACTAAGGTGACCAACTTTTTTACAATGAAAAGGAGGATACAAATAAATTGAAGAAAAAAATATCGTAAATAAAAGAAACATTTTATTCATTGCAATAATAATACAGACAACTTGCATGTGCAAAGTTTGCCAGCCGGGTGTTTTGGCACGCTCAGCAGCAATTCCTATTGGCTTTCGAATGCCAATAGTGGGAGTAGCACAGCTCATGCAAAAGTTGAAAAAAAATATCAAAAAAAGGTGCCGGAATGCCGTTCTGAGTGTTCTATGAGGGGAAAAAAAAGCCCTGCAGATTAGTCTTCAAATATCGAAAAGGAGGATATGAAGGAGGACACTTTTTGAGGGAGGACAAAACTTACAAAAGGAGGACTGTCCTCCCTAAAGGAAGACAGTTGATCACCTTAACATAACATATGTATAACTTTGTTATAACTTTGTTGAACTTTCATTCTTTTAATGACCAAACCAACATTTGCATTCTGCTTCTAGGGAAGAAATGGCAAACTGAATATAACTTCACCGAGAGCAGAGCTGATGACTATGGCGGAATAAAGACCTGGCAAATGGATTGACTATTTGCAATTCCTCTCTGGCAGGGAAAGTTCTGCTATTATAGACAGACTGTACTTAAAAATTATGAATGAGGAACAAGTTTTATTGGACAAGACTAAGACTGACCTGAAATTGGATTTAAAAATGACAGGCTTCAGGAATGATATGGAAAAATATGCTACACTGGATATATAAATAAAACCAGCTGGCATCTTACTAATTCAAAAGGGATATGAAAATAATAAACCAAAAGAGTGATCTGGTTAACTTTTCTACACTGGATTTACAAAAGAGATGTGCTGAAGTTTGGAAGAATCTTGTAAAAATGGACAAAGAAAAAATGAATAAACTTCCAGGACAATATTTGAAGGTATTAAAAATTAGGCTTGTTAAAAAGAAGGAATATAAAGATGATTTATTTGACCAAAGTTAAAATATATTAGCTATTATGTGATGAGATTTTAAGGATTTGTTTAAGGTGGAATATGGGAAGAAAAGATTTGCTGTATTTTAAGAGCAAATTTAAAATTAAAACAATTTTATTGAAATTGTGATGAAGGGAGAAATTATTTCTTTATATATTTTTTTCTTTTTCTTTACTAACTCCTATATCCATCCTTCCTTTCTTCCTTCCTTCCTTCCCATTAGTTTTGTCTTCTTAATTGTAATGTTAAATAAAATTAAAAATGCCTTCTGCTTAAAAATACTTTTTTCCTCAAAAGTTAGCTTTTCCTAAACAAATCCTCATATAATTTTCTACTCACAGTAGAAAATCTCCTATCTAAGAGGGCAGGCTCACAGGTTCTGTCTCTTAACAACAGAGTCTTCTCAGTTGCAGCTCCTGCTTAGAATAGTTTGTCTCCTGGATTTGAGTTTTAAGAAAGCAATAATAACTTGGCTTTTTAAGGTAGCTCAGGTCTGGTATATATTGGGAGTGCCTAGCATGGGCTACATTGTGATGTTCATTGTTCCTTGGCGATGATAATATTTTTCCTATTTTTTATTCTTAATTACATTTTTTGTTAATTTTTTTTACTATTTCAGTCTTTATACTATAAGAAGTGAATGTGACATGTTCAGAGTCCTGATGGATCATATAAGACCCAGAAAATACAATAAATAAAAAACACTTAGAATATAGTCTTTTTAGAGCTGACAGTTATGTAATGAAGTAGCCCTTTCTTTTCTCTGCTTGATGCAGTTTAAGATGGCAAATTAAATCATCCTATTTTCTTGGTTTTCTTTAACACAGTTTATAATCTTTATACCAACAGCTTCCTTATTCCTATTATTCCTATTATTATTATTTTCATTTTAATTATTTCATCAAGAGGTTGGAATCTTGCATAGTCTGTTTCCTGCCTTGTGCATTTTTCTGAATAAAAAGGTAATTTTGAAACCATAAAAATAATTAAACCATAAGTAAATAAATAGGACATCCAGAGTTTACAAGGCTGATTTTCTTTTATAAGTTATTTTACCGTAAATTCTCAGGCTTTTTTAAAAAATACAAGAAACTCCAAAAAGTAACTGAGAACTTCTACATAGATAATTGTTGGACAAAAAAAAAAATAATCAGATAAAGTTGACTGCATAAGTGGAATTGCTGCATTGCTATGCACTGTTGGGCTTTAACCTAAACTATCTAGCAGCCTTAAAAATTCTTAAGTGCAAAACAGTTAAAAATGAAATTTTACTAAATTAGAAAAATGAAGTAACTGTGTAGCTAAAATTTCCTTACAAAATATGAGCTGGATAACTAAGTAATTGCAGGATGCAATTGGATAACTAAGTAATTGCAGAGATTTATGGATGTTTGTGGTCCCTAAGAATTGTCATTGTCCTATCCAGAATATTTTAGCTCTTGCTGTAATTTCATCTGAGGAGGATACACACATGCACTCTTATTTTGAACATATGTAGGCTTCTATAAAGTATAACTCAGTGATATCCCAAAGGTGCTTATTCAAAAGGCAAGTGGACTTTTTTTGTTTTATCTTGAAGACGTTTTGCTTCTCATCCAAGAAGTTCAAGCTTCTTGGATGAGAAACAAAATGTCTTCAAGGAAAAACAAAGAAAGTCCACTTGCCTTTTGAAAAATATCTTTGGGATAATCATGACCTGGATGACTAAGAATCTCCCTAAACTCAGTGATATATTGAATGCCTTTTTTTCTCTTCATGTCAGAAGTATTTTAAAAGAACAGTCATTCTTAAAAAGATTGAATATATATATTCAATCTTTTGTGGTCTACTTTGTCAAATGCCTTACTGAAGTTTAAGTAATTAAAATTCATATTGTTTCATTGTTATCTCTCTCTCTCTCTCTCTCTCTCTCTCTCTCTCTCTCTCTCTCTCTCTCTCTCTCTCTCTCTCTCTCTCTGTGTGTGTGTGTGTCTGTGTGTGTCTGTGTGTGTGTGTGTGTGTGTGCATGTGCATATATATTTTAGCTACACTCTAAATCTTAGGACCTAAATACTATT